CTCGCCAGCAACTAAAATCTGACTTTCATGTGTTGAACCGTACATTTTTTCGTTACTACAGTGTAATTGATTGCATTTTTAGCTTCGAAATGTCTGGATTTATACAAATAGTTCTGCATCAATTTGTACACACTACACAGCAAAAAAAAACATTTCAAATGTTCAATTCAAAACAGGAAGCTTTCCAAATGCACTTTTTCTCTGAGCGAAACTTTTAGTTATTATGAATGATGCACTCATCAGTTGATATTCACTCATTAGATTCTGAGGTAGCGATTGAATATTGTAACTGATGAATTTGAAGTAACACAGTACAACGAAGAAAAGGACGCACAATGGCATATCAGACATGAAAGTATTCCTATAGACTAGCAAAACCCCAAAGGCGTTTTGCATTATTAGCGCGTATAAGAAAGTAATGGCCATAGGCAGTTTTTGTTGCTCAGTCGATTTTTCTAAATATGGTACATGCAGATTTTGGGCCATATCTTGTGAAATATTTGAATTATTATGTTGCTGTCAACAGCAAAGTTGTAGAAAAGAGTACAATTAACAAATTTTTTGAAAAAAAAACTTTTAGTCAATGTTTTGGAGCAAAATGTCGAAAAAATCGGAAAAAAATTCAATTTTTCGACCATAGCTCAAAGAGTATGCAATTTTTTTGGTTATTGTTTTCAGCAAAATTGTAGCCAAAGTAAAACTGCTAATTTTTTTCATTGATAACAATCCAAAAAAATCACGTTTTAACCATTTTTTCGGCTGAAAATCGCTTTTTAGTACCAGAAATGGCCATTCTGTTCAAGTTTTTGGCCGATTACTTGCAAATAACTATATAAATTTCCATATTATTCGCTTTAATTTTCATAAAAGTGTCTCTGCAGACAAATTGAATGAATTTTTTTAGCTAATTTAATTAAAAATTCACTTATTTGTCAAAAAAATTCGGGTTTTGGAACAATTTTTGAGCGTTTGGTGGATATTAAGCCAAATTAAGTCATGGAAACAGTAATATTTCAGGATTGGATGTATCCCATATCAAAACTAATGATCACAGCTAAAAAATGAGTTCAATGCGATCCACTTATAACGTCTAGTTGGAAAGTTATCTCTCTACAAGTGATGACATGTCGATTTTTTCAAGATTTTGGCACTAGTCATCACTTGAGAAGCCATAACTACCCAACCAGACGTCATAGAGAGATCGCATTATCCATATTTTCTAGGTAAGAACGTCAGCTTTAAAGTTTCGTACAGCTAAATCTGAAATATATCACCTGTCATGACATTATTTGGCACAATGTCCACAAAATCCCCAAAAATGGGTCCAAAAATCAAATTTTCTCTATAAAAATGATTTTTTTTCTACTCAAATATTAAAAAACATGCTTGAATTATCTGAAGTGATGTTGAAAGTATCCACAAAGATATTCTTTACTAGAAAAAATTGATTTTTGGAACCATTTTTGCTGAAAACAATAAACAAAAAAATTGCATACTCTTTGAGCTATGGTCGAAAAATTGAATTTTTTTCCGATCTTTTCGACATTTTGCTCCAAAACATCGATTAAAAGTTTTTTTTAGGGTATAGTATGTTCAAAAAATTTTGTTAATTGGACTCTTTTCTACAACTTTGCTGTTGACAGCAACATAATAATTCAAATATTTCACAAGATATGGCCCAAAATCTGCATGTACCATATTGAGGAAAATCGACTGAGCAACGAAAACTGCCTATGGTCATTACTTTCTTATACGAGCTAATAATGCAAAACGCCTTTGGGGTTTTGCTAGTCTATAGGAATACTTTCATGTCTGATATGCCATTGTGCGTCCTTTTTCCATGACCCGAATTTTGTTGGACTGTTTAATTTAATTCAATTGTAAAAATTGGAAGAAAGAAGTCGGAAACTGTCATTTTTTCATGCGTTATCCCATTACCCTTTTCAAAATATTCCCTTTAATAATAATGAATTCGAAAACTGAATAAAAAATACTGTTGTAAATATAATTGTTGATGATATTTTTATCAATCGATTTATTCTGAAGGTGTACATTGTGCAAACAGATTTTTTCACCATCCATTTCCTTCACCAAGGCCACAAACCTTATTTGCATTTAGTTACAATTTCATTGTAGGCTGCCTGGTAAAGTTTCGGGTCCTCCTATAATTTAATTTTTTTTTAAACATTTACGATTTATATATGATCAATTGATCTGTTGAGTAAAAGTGAAAGTTACATCGAAGTGCAACCAGTTTATCAACTTACTTTTGATACAGTGTCAGCAAATTTAATGAACTTGTCGTAAACTGGCTTCGTTTTCTCAATGATGCAACTGTGAAAGCAAAATTCCGATTTATCATTGAATTCGGGCAATTTAGCAAGTGAATTTGTTAATTACCTTTTTTCATCTGGTTTATTGCGGCATGACTCGATATCGCTAAGTAGTTTAGTTACTTCAACTTTATTTGATTCCCAGTTTTGATTATATTTAGATCCCTTCAAATGGTTGGTAGTGATGTCTGCGACACACTTAACTATAGCCTTGGAACCATCAATGGTATATGAGTCATCATCAATGGTATATGAGTCATCATCAATGGTATATGAGTCATCATCATCTTGAGCATCATCAGATGATTGAGATAGAGTCAAATCCTGCAAAATTCCACAATAATTTTTTATGATAAATTTCAAGAATAAATTGGAAATATTTTGAAATGAATAAAAGATCTCTTAATGGAAAGTCTCAATAATTTCAACTTATGTTTTCTTTCAAAATGAGTTGAAGTCAAGTGTTCTTACCATGGTACACATAAATACCACGACAGCAAGTACTGAAACGATCTTCATTTTGAATTTGATTGTTTTCGCCAATTGAAACAGCGTCGATTTGAATTTAACTGAAGTCATTCCAAAACTATTTATATGAAATTTTACCCAAGTGCACAATTTCGAAGTGCAATCGTTGGTCCAGCAATTTGTGTGATTAATGGAAAAAATTTCTGTGAAAAATGAATTGGCAACGGAAATTTAGGCAAAGCTAATCTTGACAAATGTGCATTGCACACTGCACATTAGTCAAGAGCATTAGCTTTGCCTAAATTAACGTTGCCAATTGATTTTTTGCAGAAATTTCTAAGCATTAAAAACCTGGATATATCCATATTTGGTACTATATTACTAAAAACAGCAATTCATCATCAGTCATACTCTTCTATATACTGAATTTGTCATAGTACATCTGAGTTGTACTGAATTGATTTACTAAACTAGCATTTAGATGTGTTGCAACAAAGCGATGAAAATTCAGGAAAAAGAATTTATTTTATATGGCCTAGTTTGGTCAACCGCTATTGTTGGTCTCTTCTCTTGAAGAAGGTCAAATGCAAACTTTGAAATTCGTTGCGAACTTCAAATTGATTTCCAAATGTTGACTTTTGTAATCAATCACAGAATGCGCGATGATCTTAGCATCATTGAGACGTTTTCATTCTTCATAATGCGTACAAAATGCTACATCAACGACAGATGAATGGACAAGCGGAAAAATGAAACGTAATTTTTTTGTTAAATGGAGAGCCCCTGAACAAATTTTGCAGTAAAAGTGTCCCACAAAAATATTGTCTGAATTTGTTTTCACTTTTACTGAAAAATTGTTTACAAGGCGATTCAAATTGAACCGAAAAATATTGTATGAAATAGTGCCTCACGAAAAATATTCAATTTAAATCGCCTCGTAAAATTTTTTTCATTTAAAGTGGTACATGAAAACAAATTCAGACAATATTTTTGTGAGGCACTTTTAATGCAAACAATTTTCAGGGCCTCTTTATTTTACAAAAAAATGACGTTTCATTATTCCGATTGCCCATTCAAATTATCTCCTACTTTCGTTGTGTTTTACAACAGTGTCGTAGCGTGCATAGAGGCTCTCGAGGCTCAGCAACTCCAAAAAATCTGTGCTCCACCCCAAATGAGCGCCATGATTTTTTTTCCTCGAAAGATGTTATATATATTGTATATTTATAGACAAAAAAATTCGCGCATAAACATTCAATATTACGATATTGATGATAATATAAAGCACACTTGCTTAAGAAATTACAGTTATCGTAGACTTAGTAAGAAATCGTGATTTTGTTTTAGTTTTTAGTCGCACTCAATGGGGATAAGGTCAAGGGCTTGGAAACATCTCCCAAGTGTAGCTCCCACGTCCCAACAATTATTACAATTTTTGGCCAATTTCATGTTGATTTGGGAATATTTGTATGGAAGCTACCACTATTTAAGCTTCGATCTACTTGAAACTTTCATATATAGAATTCAATTTCCACTGAAAAAAAATGGATTCCGAAAGTTTCATTATGATTGTTATAATATCAGAAGTGTGTTTTTCGGCCACATAATCTGATGGAATTCACTCGCACCAAAAGCTAAACTTTGAGGACGATGTAAACATTATTGAATGGAGCTAAAAATTTAAATGGTCCATTTTTTCCTACAACTCCCAATGAAAATGGACCACCTGTAAAATTCAAGAAAATGCAAAAATACTCTATATTAAAGTTTTGTGGCTCAGCCACATCAAAAATGTTGTTCACGCTACGCCAGTGGCTAGGGGGAACTATCATTTTTTTATCGAAAAAATTCATTAATTTCGGTGTGTTTTAGGAGATATTCAATCCTATTCACTATTATCTATTCTCTAGAATCATCATGCCATCGTAACCAACTCACATGCAAAACCTGCTGTGTACGCAACCGTTTGCGCACAAGAGAAGTGTGTACGGCAGCTGTGTGTGTGCGATATGCTGGCATATTATGCCGAGCATTAAATATACGGCGTGCTAAGTTATACTATCACGAAGCCTTGCAAAAATTCACTGTTTTAAAATTCGTATGAAGCCTCTAGGGCACTGGTTTTCAATCACCAAATGGGAATCCTGTATGGTAATGATGAAGAAGAGCTGCGGTTGACGGTTCAAAATGAGAATTGACTATGGCAGTATGACTCATGAGCAAATGCTCATACGTTCACACTTCGATGGGATAGAAAAGTTCAACAACTCAAAAGTTCTAAAACTGTAATCGAAAGATGATCACATTACGAAAACAAAACGCCACATATGAGGCAATTTGCATGGGGCATAGGGTGGTAATGTGTCGAAGAGTAAGATTGACTTCCCAAGAGAAATGGCCAATATGTTTATACGCTGTCTATCCACCGAAAATACACTACAATATATATTCACGCTTCTTGGACGCCGAATTCAATATATATTCTAGTGTATTTTCGGTGAATTCTTCAGCGTGAAACATATTGAAACATATTCAGGCGCCCTCTGATGGCCATGAATGCATTCATTGATTCAATATGTTTCACGCTTTCACGCTGAAGAATACACCGAATATTCACTAGAATATTTATTCAATTCGGCGTCCAATAAGCGTGAATATATATTGTAGTGTATTTTCGGTGGATAGACAGCGTATAAACCTATTGGCCGTTTCTCTTGGCTTTTGCAGTACACGATCCGACAGCAAAAACCAAAAATACATTGATTCATATGGACACTGAATGTACAGAATGTGACAAGAGCGAAACTAGTGAAAATATTCATGAACTAACATGTAATCACAAAGTTTCTATCTTAATTGCATTGAAAAACAAAACAACAACGCCTGAAAGTAGTCAAAATTGCAAGTTTCAATCATTTAAACATGAATAAACATGTAAAGCACGTACACATTTCTGTGACGTAAAAAGTCTCATGCTATCGAATTGTGTTGCAGTATGACTCATGAGCAAATGCTCATACATTCACACACGATTCATATATGAATAAAAAAAAATTGTAATACAATATTCCTCCAATTTAATTAAAGATGAAATAGTTAAGTAGCAACAGTGTTTGCTATTTTGATGTATCCAATGTCTGTAAGGCTTCTCGGGATAACGATGTGCATGGGCAACGAACCACTGGGTATTGTGTAATCTTTGCAACAAATTCTTTTTTTCAAAGATTTTCAATCATCAACAGAAATCGGATTTCTGTTGAATCAGTTTGATACACATGTAAACAACAACGAACAAAGCAGTGATTGTTGCAAAAGCCGTGTACAACTCGATTCTATCGTTTACTGCCCATTTGATCCCTTGAAATTTTGATAATTTCTATACCTTTTCAGCTTTAATCCTTCATTTTGTGACTTTCCTCCTTACAACGTAGTGTCACATTGAGTGTAGCTGTAAATTCTAAATAAAATTGTTAACGATCACACTATTGACACTTTGTTGGCACGTTGCTTGCATTCTACGAGCAATTCAACGATCACACGAAACAATTGGAAAACATTTTTCTAATTACAAAATATTTATTCTTTTTTCCGCACGCGCGTAAAACCTTGCGCGTGTTTCGATTACAAGGTCTTAATTGGATTTCGAATAATTTTTTTTCTTCTAATTATCCATTATTTTTTGCGTGTATTTCTCATAACCTTAGAACATTGTCATTTCATAGCTTTTCATCTGTTCCATTCCATTTCAATTTAAAATGAAAACGAAAATATTCCGTACATTTAGACGAATATGGTCCATATTTTGAGTTAACGGGTGAACGGTAAATATTGCGATAATTTGTCAATGCGAAGACACTTGTGAGGAATGTCGAATAATATTTGCTCGATCTATTCACAATGTTTTCTTTTCAGCCCGAAGAATTTTTCATGCAAATTACGAGAATTATCCACGTAAGTGTTTTTGCATTTTATCCGAAGTGATTGTCAATTTCTAAACTATATAAGCAGTAGCCGCAGGAGGGATGTTTCAGTTGAAAGTAAATTCACTATTCAAAATGAATACCAAAGCAATCGTTTTGTTCGCTTGTGTTGTAAGTATAAGTCGAATTTATCTTCTTTTGTTAATTTGAATGTTTGGGAAATACATTTTCTTTCATACATTTTCCGATTTGATTAGGCATTGTTGCTACATGGTACCAGCGCGACGCATGGGTCATCGAAGGAGAAATCGGCATCGCCAACTGTAAGTGGATGTTTGTTCTTCATTTCAATATTCTAATGAGTTACTAGTGGGTTAATCAGCTTCCAGAGAAATGAAAATAAAAACCGGGCATCTAGCTAATCTTTGAATAAAGAAACAAATCGTCCCTCAACAAACAATTATTTCCGAATAATGACCATACATTTTTTTTTTCCAAATCAGCCAATGACCATGGATGATATTTACCGTCAATTACAATTCAACCAACTATTATATGGTAAGGATGATTTTGTGTATCAATTTTTCCCATTTGAACGATTGCATCATTGTATTTTTTATTGCTTGAATTGAGCTTTTTCACCATTACTTGAAAGATCCTGAGCAAAAAAAATATTAAGCTCTTACTCCATCCACTGAAACCTTTACGTTACGACTTTTTTCAAATCCACACAGTTTTAAATTTACGCCCGAATAGTGGACGAAATTTCGGCTGGTATACGCACTCAGTCTATATTTCGCCTAAAACTTCAACTAAAAATCTACTTTCAGGCGTAAATTTGCCTAAAATCTAGGCGTTTTTTTTTTGTAATTTTGTAATTTCTCAAGCAAAATTTGCGATCATAAAAATGCTATTTTTCAAGAATTTGACTGTAAATGAATTAATCCGAATTTCAATATTTTATTTTTAGAACGACTGGAAGCGAACGCAAAGGCAAAAAATAAAGGGGGTCCGATTGCGGGAGGCATCCCACATAAGGCATCCAACAATAAAAATAAGAATAAATAAAATGATGATGTCTACCAAACTGAACTTAACGAAAAAAAAAAAATAGTTCAAAACGCAATTACAAAAAAAAAACATTTTGATGCTAAATTTGAGAAAAAAAACTTTGAATAATCCGAAACAATTTTGGAAAATATCAATCTTTTGTTTATTCATGGGACGTCCGAAGCAAGCTTCAAATATAAATAAAAGAATTTAAAAAAATTTATCATGAGTACACAATCATTCGATAGATTACCATTGGCTAAGTGCGTTTTTTTTTTGAAAACTGGGCTGTGAAAAGAGATACAGCTTGTAAGAAATGGTATTGTATCAATATGAATAAATAACATATTTTAATAAATTAAATGTATTCTTTCTAGCATAATAATATTTATTAATACGAAAGAGAAGTTTCATACAAAAAAACATGTGGATTTTGGCCAGACATAACAATTTTGAACAAAAATGCGTCTGGCACTGGTATGTTCTTTGTATGAAACGTTATCACGTTGAAACACGACTCTCAGTCAATTTTAAACGATATTTTGTGTGAGCAAATTGATTCCAATAGAACAAAAAAATGAGAAAATATTCATTAACAGGGAGTTGGTTTGTGCGCTCTTACTCTGCAGAAATAGTGATAAAACTAGTGAAAACGAGTAATGGTCCGCGGTCGGTCACGATTTTCGCGAAGCCGATAAGGAATAGAGGTTTGGTGTTCACACCCAACACACAAAATTCTGCTATTATTTCGCATTTTTTTTTACAGCAATACATGAACAGAAAAAACTTTCCATTCAGCTAATCAATTGTAGCCTGTAAAGTATCAAATGAAAGCTAGTTCAATTCCCTACATTTGTTTCCAAACAAGAATGCAATTCCCCTCTGGAAAAATTTCAGAGCTGATTTTTCAATTTTGCGTTCTAATGCGGGTGTCATTTCATCGTAGCTTGTTATACGTTCATTGACCAGTACACGTGCTCTCTTTGCGAAATCTTGCATATTTTCATTTTTGTTTTGTTTAAGTGCTTCGATTTTCGATCGCAAGACGTCCGAATTCAACCGACAGATATGCAAATCTGCGGCGAAGAGCGGCTTCAATTTCGTTCCAACGCGAACCTACCAAACGTTCAATCGTTGATAGTGCGCTGCCGGACGTTTTCCTTAAAATTTCGTCATAAAATGCATCGCTTTGTTCTTGATTATTGATCTTGTTGTAGGCAATCGAAGACGCCGTGAGAAAATGATCCAATTTTTTTTTCGAATCACTCGAAAATTCTGGAATTTTATTCAATTCCCTCTCAAACTTTCGTTCTTTTTTCTCTTCACGATCGTTTTGCAATAATTTTGCAAAAATCAGTTCATTTGGGTCGACGCGTGTATACGCACCCTGTGCTTGAATAACTGTATTCGCACCCTGTGTTTGATTTAATGAACAAGTACCCTGTACCGTGTTGAAAGAACAAACGTGGAATGCTTTGTATACTGATACATGTATTTGCTTGGAACTCGGTTGACCGAAGCGCCATCTAAAGAACCGATGGTGAATTCGTTATGTCTGTATGTTATACTTCAGTATGACGTTTGACAGAACGGAGAGTGTACTTGATTGAATTGTCATTAGCCTTAGATTATCTAGGTGGTGTTTGCGCTCAATATCAGTTGTCAAAGTCAAAAAGAATAGGACCGTTGTGAAAGAATGGGCACCCTGTATTTCGTTGAATGATCGCTGTTTTGCAAAACTTGAGTTATTAGAATAAATTACGTATGGCCCGGCTTGAATGGGCCTACGACGTTCCTTCGGCAGCTCGAGATTCACAGCAGCATCATTCTTCATTACATTTGAAGTTTTTTGATTCATGAACTTTTCCATATTTTTTTTCAAATATGCGCTCCACAGATTTCGAAATCATCATTTCAATTTCTTTCATCAGAGTCAACTTTGGGTCTGACTCTGCTTTTTTTGTATTTGTTTTCTTTTTTGCACCACCAGTCGCGAGAGAATCGTCGTCGCTCATCGTAATTATGTCAACAAAAATATCGTTCACACCAGAAAATGAATAATAAAGAATATGAGTTTAATATGGAAATCACTTACATTCAAGCTACACTATGCTATGTGTAATTCAATCTCCTGTTGATTTGTCCGCTGTTGCTTTTTTTTCAATCTTTCGTTGCCCGCTTGCTTGTTCACACGCTTGGCCCAGAAGAATGCTCTCGATTTGCAGTTTTTCTCATTCGATGTTTTTTCTTCATCGCTTCCTGGAATATTCAGTCCGATGGAATTTTGTTTTTGTTCTCTTTGTGTTTTTTTTTTCGTTGACAAAAGTTCAATTTGTAAAACTCGTTTAAGGTAGTGTATTGCAATTAGTAGTTTTGTTCGCGTTCATTTGAAACACAATTTTAGACACTTTTCGTGTTATTGGGATATCACTACTATTGTGTGTATATCACTTGTTTTATCTTTGTTTAGTGTATTCACTCTTTCGAATCACATAAACTTGATTTTTTTTATGCACTATTTATTTCCAGTCCACTTCAGGTTGATGGATAATGCTTATGTTGTGTATTCACGTTTTTTTTTTTTTGAATTCCACAGATTTTATTTTTCTCAGTCCTTGTTCGGATCGTTGATTAAAATACGTTAGAAAAATTTAACTTTGTGATTTATGATCTATTTCGACCACAAAAAACTTTACTCTGTTCCAAAACCTGAGCAGTGCCAGTGTAGTGGGTTTGTTAGGTGAGAGTGAGTAATAATGCTTGTTTCAGTTTCAGCATTAACTTTATTCTTCTTCACATTTCATAATTGTCATTAGCGGGTGTCGCATGCGCATCGTGAGATGCGGTGAGCATGCGACACCGTTGGAGAAATAATGAGTAGACGGGTCGCACAATTATAATTATAATGACGATCCGTCTACAAACTTCTCATGTAGACGGTCCAACACAGGCAAAAATCGAAAAAAACAGTATTCAATGTGCCCAATCCATTGGTGCTTTCGGCACATCGAAATTCGCACTCGTTATCAACTTATCATAATTCGGCACATTGAAACAGACTGCATCATGCCCGAAACACAACCCCTGCACCACACTAACAAAACAACGAATTTGCGATGAGCGCATTCAGTGAAGTTCATTTCAATTCTTTACGTCGTTAGACGCACTCATGAACGCGACAAATTGAACGCATCAACAATGTTCCGTAATGAAAGAAACATTTTTTACTTATAAAATTGATGTTTATCACGTGCTACGCTCTCACAAAAATCGATTTTGCACATTCGTGACATTTTTATTTTTTTTTGTCTACTTTATTAACAAATATAAAAAAGATTCTTAGATGCAGGACCTTCGGCCCGAAATTAGATTCAAAGAGAAACAACACCAATTTGACAAACAAAGTGCCACAAAGCAAGTTTCGGCTTTAAACTGCAACATGATTTTCTATGTTGCACTTTGTTTCTCACATTTGCTTTGTGTCGCTTTGGTTCAAAAACTTGCGTTGTTGCTCTTTGTTCGTAGGCAAATGCCATGCTTCGATTCAATTCCCAAATATTCTGAGGGAATTTTTTTGTCGCAACGGTTCATATATGTTGTGCAGAAAAAATCGATATAATATGTTGTTATAAAAATGGCACATTTTTCCTTGTCGAAATTTAACTCATTGTTATTAACAGAGGTGTTTCAAAACAAACAAATCGCCCATCGACAAACAATTTTATTCAAATAATAATCAGAAAAAAATAATTTTCCTCCTATCAGCCAATGACCGAAGAAGAAACACTTGATGCTTTCCGTAGATTACATTTCAACAAAAACGTACAAGGTAACGATTTGTATAATATCAATTCTCCGTTCGAACGATCGCAAATTATTACATCCATTATTACATCCATTCGACGATTTTTTTTTTGCACTATAAATCAAAAGATCTTGAGAAAAATATATTGAGCTTTTCCTCCATTCACCCAAACCTCAAAGTCAGAAATTTATTTCCAAGTAAAATTGGCGATCGTAAAAATGTTGTTTTTCAAGACATTGACAGTGAATAAATTGAATAATCCGAATTTAAATATCTTATTTCTAGAACGGCAGGCAATGAGCGAGAAGGTGGACCTACAAGTGACAACGAATAGTGGTCCGATTGTGGGTGTCTTACAGAAGACATTTTTCAATAAAGTGTCTTATATATCTTATAAGGGAATCCCATATGCACAACCACCCATCGGTCCATTGAGATTTAAGGTAAATTTGAACATTGTAAACCCACATCATAAATATATTGCCAGAATAACAAGAATACAGCCAATGACATCTCTAAACCAACTCAGTGAATCATTGAATATTTTGAGCAACTTTTTTCAACCGTATGTGGCTTGACTGATATATATATATAATCAACTTTACTGCGGCACTGGCAGCTTCTCTGTACACACACCATAGACCGAGAGTACGAAAATCATAGTATTTTGACAAATTCATCGAATAACCATTGCAAAACATCAATGTATATTGGCTAGTGTGTAGTTATACTATAGCTCACAGTGAAGCTGTTAGTGTCGCCGTAAAGTTGATTATATTCTACTTAAGCCACACACGAAATATGCAATGATCAGCAATGATTCAATGAGTTGGTTTAGAGATGGCATTGACTATAATGTGGCAGAAGACTTACATTTAAAATGTATTGTGGCAATCCCTTTATGATCCCACACATAAAAATATATATTTTTTTTGCAAAAACTATGAATTCAAATAGGCACCACGATGACGTCCGGTTAGTTCATGGATGTCCCGAAGTCCTCTTGTAACCACAAATGAATACAAGAGTCGCTGCATTGCGGTTTCCATCCTTCTTTTTCAAATGCATACTAAACAAAGCGAAGACTGTCTCTACTTGAATGTATACACACCAGGTGATTTCCTCTAGGATTTCTATATAAAAACGCAACAGTACATAAAACTCCCCATTTATTCTGTAATTTAGTTTTGAGCGGCGCTAAAACCAAAAGCAAATTACCTGTAATATTCTACATCCCTGGTGGAGCTTTCGTAGAGGAAGATGGAAGTGATTTGTATCAAGAACCCGATTTTATGATGGAGGAAAATGTCATTCTGGTCACAATCAACTATCGTTTAGGTTTATTTGGTTTTGCTAATTTCGATGCGAAATATAGTATAGCCACCGGCAACATGGGCTTGAAAGACCAACGAGAAGCATTCAAATGGATTAAAAGTAACATTGACGCTTTCGGCGGTGATCCAAAAACTATAACGATATAGATTTTTGATCACTGCCGAAATACTTGATGTTCTTTCTAACCCATCGCAAAGCTTCTCGTTGGTCAACAAGTCCATGTTGCCGGTATATCCTTTTGCTTCGAAATTAGCAAAACCAAAACGATAGTTCATCGTCACCAGAATGACATTTTCTTCCAACATAAAATCGGGTCCTTGATACCAATCACTTCCGTCTCCCTCTACGAACCCTCCGCCAGGGATGTAAAATATAACAGGTAATTTGCTTTTGGTTTTGGCGCTGCTCAAAACTAAATTACAGAATAAACGGGAAGTTTTATGTGACAGTGTTGTTGCGTTTCTATAAAGAAATCCTAGAGAAAATTACCTGGTGTATATACATTCAAGTAGAGACAGTCTTCGCTTTGTGTAGTATTCAATTGGAAAAGAGCTGTAGAAACAGCAATACAGCCACTTTTGTATTCATTTGTGGTCACAATAGGTTTTGTCCATGATTTAACGCGACGAGTTGCCTATTCGAATTCATAGTTTTTGTAAATCTATTCCTATATTTGGATTTATGCTATCAAAATTAACCTTAAATCTCAATGGGCCAATGAGTGGTTGTGCGTATGGAATTCCCTTGTACGATATATAAGGCACTTTATTGACGAATGTGCTCTGTAATACTCGCACAACCGGACCATTACGCGTTCTCACTTTTAAATTCACACCGGAAATTGGTGTTGTTAATGCAATTAATTGCCACAAAATTAGTTGAAAAAATGTTAATTTCAACATTTTTACCTGAAATGAATCGAAATTAAAAGAGAATTAAATCTCTGTTAACGCCTACAGTTTGAATAATCAAAACACTTGGTGTCTTTCCTTATATACGAAAATTTTGCCGTTTTTATGACGAACGTAAACTCAAACGAAAACTTGAAAAGCATTAAAAAAAAAACAAGCTACCAGCCCTTTATATAGCGTCGATGAAAGTACATCTGAGTATCAAATCAACTTGGTAACAGTCTGTTGCCAACAGTATTTAGAAACAATACATTTATTCTGTTTATTGTTCGTTATGTTAGATGTCTAATTAAAATGATTATCGCAAAATGGGATATTTGCACAAATCTCAATTATTTGTGTTTTTTTTTTTCTAACATAATTGAAGGTGATATTAACTCGTTTATTCAACTAGGACACTCAGGAAGGCATACTTTTCTGAAAGGGTAAACTAAAAATACGGCCACAATATATTCGTAAACTCTTTTCTCTTCTTCTTATATCTAACATGATGAACATTGTACAGAATAAAATATCTTCAATTTTGAAAAAACAGATGTTTGAGATTTTTGCAAATATTTAATCGAATATGTATTGAAAATGTGTTTTAAAAACAAATACATTAAGCGTGATCATTTGTTTAATTAATGAATTGTATGATAAATATTCAGTCAGTGATTACACGGTGAAATAAATAATAATATTAATTCGTTGCAGGTTTTGTAATTCATTTATTTCTAAGTGTAGCGAAATGTTTTTCTCTGAATTTTGATAGGACAGCACTAATAAACATTTCAACATCATTATTAACCTTCACATTCACATTACACTTAAAAAAAATTTTAAAAACAAATCACGAAATCGAAATCTCGACGAACCAACCCAAAAAAAACATGAATTTACATCGATTTAATTGGTCTTATATGTTTTTCATTATTATCATTGTATTAAACCAATTTGTTTGAATTTGGCGGATCCAGGATATCAAGAGTGAAGGAACGAATCGTTGTGTTTAACAGTGTATAGTGTGTTGATATTGGGCAGGATAATTGACGTTTGCCATGTCACGAACTGCGCATGTGCAGGTGCACCCATGCTGCTATCAACACATGTATCCAAAACACACACTACCTGTGTAAATATTGGTTCGAATAGTTGACAGCAGATAAATTCAAAACAAACGCAAAAAGTGATTGTATACATTAATGATGTGCTGTGTTTAAATTCTTCACGAGGCAAATATTGTTTCTGTGTTTAATTGATCAAAGAGTCTTTTCCAAATCAAAGAACCATTAGTAAAAATCATTCGTTGCAAGTGTCCTTCCTGTATTAGTCATCTGTGTCATTGCGTTTTTCTTCAAACATTTTTTGTTTGCAAAACCGAGTGTAGAAAAATCAATTTTGTAAAGTGAAAAAAAAAAAATGGCTCGACCTGGTCTAGTGGGAATGGTTGGTTTGAATAAAAAGAGAGAAAAGCATGTCCACGTTGAAACTGATGAAGAGCTACTGCAAGCGTATAAAAAAAGTTTCAAACTCACGTCACGCGTTGAACTAACGATAAGCTGTAAAAATCTACCGAATATTCATCGCCTGCGAGGCATTTCAGATCCATTCTGCGTAATTTCCGTAAAACGTCCATGGCAAGAGCGATACGTTGAAATTGCTCGCACCGAAACGATTGAAAATCAATTGAGTCCGCAATGGTTTAAAAAAATCGTGCTCGATTATAGTTTCGAGGCAATACAACACGTTCAATTCGAAGTTCGCGATAAGGATTTGGACGAGCATGATTTTCTGGGACGATACCATACGACACTTGGTGCATTGGTTTCATCGAACGGTCGACAAGTGGTCGGGAAAATGATTGGTAAAATCGATGGGGAAATTATTCGCGATAAAAGCGAAATCATTATTGTAACTGAAGAAGTTTCAAATTGCAAACAAGTTATGGAAATTCAATTTGCGGCTGAAAATCTACCAAAACGAAAATGGTTCCGCAACAATGATCCATTCTTGGTGATTTCACGCATGAATGAAGATGATTCGTATTCAGTGGTTACAAGAACTAAAGACGCTGAATCGAGTCAAAATCCCGAATGGGAAACATTAAAAATTCGCGTTGCAGCACTTTGCCATGCGGACTTTGATCGAAAAATCAAAATTGAGTGCTTTAGCGACAGGGGAAATGGTTACCATAAACTGATTGGAGCATGTTACACGACGATCAATGAATTGAATGCAATTTATCAAGATGAAAAATCGCTAACGTTGATCCATGACGAAAAACAAAAATCCGATCCGAACTACGTTGATTCAGGCATATTGAAAGTGATTAAGAATAGCATTGCCGAAGAAATATCGTTCTTGGATTACTTACAAGGCGGAACACAAATGCATTTCGCCGTCGCTATCGATTTTACATCTTCGAATGGTAAGCACACCCATCCACAATCACTGCATCATTTATGCGAGGAAAAGATGAACAACTACGAGCTCGCTTTACGTGGTGTCGGCGAAACACTACAACATTATGACAGCGATCAACTGTTCCCAGCTTTTGGTAGGCTTTTTCCCTATTCACCTTTTTTTATAAATCTTCTCTTCATAGACATTAATCTTTTTTTGGTTCTATTTTCTAGGTTTTGGTGCAAAATTGCCATGTGGCACGGTTTCATTCCAATTCCCGTTAAATAATAACGCCGAACATCCGTACTGTTCGGGTGTTGAAGAAATTCTTGAAAATTACAAAGACCAATTGAATGCAGTTGAACTTCATGAGCCGACCAACTTCGCTCCGGTTATAAAAGATACCATTGAAATTGCCAAAAAGTATCAGGATGGAAAGCATTATTTCGTGTTGTTGATCATAACGGATGGAATTATATCCGATATGACGTTGACGAAGGAGGCAATTATAGAAGCATCCGGTTTGCCCATATCGATAATCATTGTCGGAGTCGGTGATGCTGATTTTGAAGCCATGAACGAACTTGATGCCGACGACAAAGAGCTTAATCTTGATGATCGTATTGCTGAACGTGATATCGTCCAATTCGTTCCTATGAATAAATTCCTTACAGAAGATGGACCAGACCATAAACCTCAAGCAGATTTGGCAGAAGAAGGTATTTCAATAATGATGCATTACTTTTAAGACAAGAAGTAATTAACCTTACTGACGGTGTCCACAATCTTTATTTTTCAGTATTGGCAGAGATTCCAGAGCAATTTACAAGTTATATGAAATCACGTGGATTCGAACCAAGTGAATGTGAATCCGAGCCGACCGATACACTCGAAAGAGATGAAAAAATAACCACTGAGTGTGAAGCGAAATGAACTGATACAAACACGTCCAAAAATCATTATTAATAACAATTTATGGTCAATCTGAACGAACTCGAAAAATCGACATTCGCGAAAAAGAACTTTTAAAGGGAACGAATTTGAATACGATGAGAAAATACAACTGGGTAGAACATGATTAATCGACAAAAACATCAGAAAAATCAAAATCATTGATTAGTAAATGGCGATTAAGATTTAAGTAAAACGAAAATGTTTCGTTTATTGATCAATCTAATGTAATAGCTCAGTTGTATATTCATCATCGATAAATGAATGCGTCGAAAAATATTTGCACATTAGAACGAAACAAACTTTTTGTTAGATGGATGCGGAAGGCCATATTTTGCACACAGACGTGCAATTTTACGTATTACAGTGTTCCGCATTTATGAAACAACAGAATTTTATTTCGCTTTGTTCTGCAAATATTCTGAGTTGCGCTTTGATACTTGAGCATATCGAATAAAGCGCATATTAAATCTTTTCATTCTGACGCGTACAAAAAAAACAATAAATCAATATTACACTCAGCTTTATTCCTGCATCAATTCTCCCATTTTGCCCCATTTTAAGATACCACCATATCTCGAGCAAAAGGTACGCACAGTCTAGGGGGATTTAACTACGTGAAAACTTGTAAAAAAAAATGATATAAATGCGCACGAAATTGTTACATTCACCAGAGAACTTGCATGATTCCACTCAGTTGATAAGTTCCGTATTAAAACAACATGCGCGAACTTGTGCGAACGCGCGCGAGTTCGTGTGCAAACATGAAGCTGGACGACGCGCACACATCAGTCGTTCCATTTATTATATCTGTATTAATTTTTTCTTCCAACACTTTCTCCAGCTCTTTAAAAATATTTCCTTTGTCCATTTTATAATTATATAAATCTTTGAACTTTTGGAAAAGGATGTGAAAAATCTTTATACACGTAAACAACCGATTTTTAACCGATGTTGTCAAATAACAACTTGAAAAACGCGCAAAACCATAAACAAACTTGTGTAAACTTGTGACCGTGCGCGTCAGTACGGACAACGAACGCGTCGAACTTCCGCGAATCAAGCGAACTGGCAGAAAACATGCTGCACTTGTAAGAGTTAAATTCCCCTAGCGCACAGTACATAAGAGCCAATGCAAAAGTTAATTGATGCGCATAAGTAGCGCCACCTCTAATGATTACAGAGAGTTACCATAAGTCGTATGCAATTGATGTTGAGAAAATGAAGAAGAAGAAGTAGACATTCTATTCATTCACATTGCAATAATGGCAATCAGTAGAGATGGTGCTCATGTGCCGATCATATCACTGTTACAACCCTTCGATCTCGAGCATATTGACAGCATTGGCATTGCGAAATATTTGTACACATTCTAAGCATTTCAGGCAAGTTCGCGCAAAGCTAAATGGAAGTTTTAAGTAATTTGCGCATAATACATTACTTACTATACGATAGTTTCGGCAAAGGCGACAGATGACACTGACTGTTATGTCAAAGTTTCGTTCATACAAAACCTAGGGGCGAAAATCGAATTCTATTAGAGTCTAGTTACATTCAATTTTATATATTTTTTGCTTTATGTCCTCTAATTTTTCTAGTTTTGGTGCAAAAGTGCTAATATTGTGCCATTATTTCTAGTAAACCCGCTTGCAGAGCGTATTACACTGTGAATACAACGCTTATGGAAAGAACTAACGGAACTATTTTGTTAACAATCAACAATACGTCCATAAGCGTTAACATTGGCAAACCAAACTCACTAATTTCTCCTATTTTTCCTATTATCGTTGAAGAATGTTCTAATTTTACTCATTTAAGTTTCGTGTCTCTCCCCTAGTACAAAACTCATAGAATACTCGAGATATGGATACCATATATCTCGTATTTCCGAATTTCTCACGATTTTTACACATTTTATCGTTAAAAATACTTTCTTGCATCCATTTTCAATTATTGTAAAATTACCGAATTAAAATCAAGAGAATTCACAAGATTGAAGGTTTTTGGCTTTGCAATAAAAATTAATTGATTTGATTATTTTCCACACTAATTTATGCGACCAATCTGAATAGTAAATGAATTGATTTTTTACCTACGATCATAGCAGTTCAATTGGATACAGATACAGACACAAACTGCTGCCGGCGTTATTTCCAATAATATTAGCATCCAGAAAATGTTGACCAAAAAAATAGATTCTTAAAAAAAAAACCCATAAAATGATGATGATGTCTTCCATACCAACTGAACAAGAAATAAGGTAAAATATACACTATTCCAAAATTGTTTTCGAATTGCGGCCTTGGTTATGATTTGGCCAAATATTTGGCTCTGCCTCGTTGCCTCATTCAAATAAACCATTACAGCCACGAGAAGTCTAACGGTATGTATAATCGACAAAGCCATAAAACCCAACAGTGGCCAACTATCTCGACGATAGTCAGATGAATATTCATACAGTTTTATATAGATATAGCTTGACTCATTGCCTGATATTCAAGATGCTGTTGCCGTCATTTGAAATTGCATTGCTGGTAGATCGTACGAAAGCCACCGTGTGCGAAAAAGTTGTTATGTCTTTGAAAAAATAAGCTAAAAAATATTACCGAGCTCCAGGCGTATTTTCGTTCGGATTTTTTTTTTTCATTGGGTAAAAACGCCTGGTGTTTATGCAATCAGGTGAATTGTTGTTGCAAAGAAAAACAGAATATTTTCAATTCGAAAACCAATTGCAAAGTACTAAACGCTCTATGAAAACAATGAAATTGCTATTATTCTCAGTCGTGTCAATGTTTTTACTTGAAAGCTTCAGGCATTACTTTATTGTTGCATATTAATTCGTCAATTTGTTTGGCAAAATAAACAAATTCATTTGTTGTAATCGATGTCAAGAGATTCTATTATAACGACTTGAATTTGATCAAATCGACTGCATTCATATGTTTACTGCTTGTAACCTCTTATTCCATCTATTGAAAAGACAACCAAATCCAATGAAAACCCGTTGTTATATTTTTAATTTTACAGAATTTTATTCAATAAAACTGTCAATTCATAAAATTACAACTGTACTTTGCTACATTTTAAATTGAAAATGGTTGGTGTTTTTTTTTTTATATTTTAATAAATCTAAATAATGAAAATCATTTTTTTTCGATTGAATTTATTCAATCGTTGACTACAATGCTCTTAAAAATGTTCCATTCAAATTATACGCGTGTGAAATCACGAACGTGTTCAAAACATTTACAAAATAAGACTGACTGGTTGCGATACGATGTTGGTGTCAATTGATTTGGTTTGTTTTTGGCGTTTCTAATCGCATTCAGATGCGAGATTGAGCGGCCACAAATTGACGTCGACGTGGACTCGATGAGTTGTTCTGTTGCTGATGGATATAACGTGGCTTTTGCTGAATGTCCGAAAATGATCGATCTACATGAAAAAGAATGAATTAGTTTTCGGTTTAAGAGTACGAGAAAAAAAAAACCACTTTCAAAATTCAAAAGTGAATGAAGATTGACTCAGAAGAATTGGAAAAAAATGGTGGTAGCATACCTCTGAATTTCATTCCCTGAGCCTCGTTCATGATATTAAGCAATGCTGGATGCAATACAGCCGATGATAAACCATTCATGTTGCCATTGGTGTTGGTGGTGGTGGTGTTGTTGTTGTTGTTGTTGTTGATGCCGTTAATGTGTGCACTTCCTGTGTTGTAACGCTCATTCATATGCTGAAACGGTTTATGATGATACGAATGCATTTGCGAATTGTTTGATGTGTGATTAATGTTGGTAGCGGATGACGAAATCGATTGCGGTGTTGTTGAAATGTTTCCATCCAATTTGTGGTTGTGATATTTATTCTGATTTGGATCATAGAATTCCGATGCAACCAGCTTTTTATTTGGCGATGATTGGTTTAGATAGCGATTCTTTTCGTTGCGATAATGTTGTAGATTTTCTTGCACACTTCGTCTGCGAGAAATGAAATGGAAAAAAAATATTCATTCATTAAATTGAATAAGAATTTTTTTCTAAATATAAACTCAATTTTTAATTTTTCCCTTAATTTTTAAAACTAAATTCGTGTTCGGAAGAGGAAAATAAAATGTTGATTTCTGTCGAAATTTAACAAGCGTAATTCGGAGACTCAAGATTTTAGTTAAGATTTGTCGTACATCTGAAATCCTATTGTCAAAAGTCACTGGCAGAAGGATAAACGAGACGTTGTTTATGAACATAACAATAATAATAACGTCAACAGCATCTTCAACGGCAGCAGTTAAACGAAAAGTTCAATCCAATGTCATTATTTGTGTTGCTCACACGCCAAATGAAGTTGGAAGTTGTCATGTACCGTTTTAAATGAAGCAAAGGAGAGCTCTTTGGCATTTACATAATAACAATTTGTTGAATTTCCATAAGTATAAGGCGTGATAAAACACACAATACCGTTTGTAATGTGGATGTGTTTACAATAGTTGAGAGAAGAGAGGGAGATGAGATGGCATTGCCCACTAGGCATATGTATACACATATATTCCGTCTCGTTTGCCTTTCTCGCATCCATTCTTCGTTTGGTGAGTGTTGTTATCCTTCCATTGCATTAACTTTTAATGTATTATCATAAGTTTTTTTTCTTCTGTCTACTTCCACTGCTGTCGGTGTCGGTGCCGCTGCCGCCACGGCCGATGCATAGTCAAGCGAAACAAATATGAGAAAACGGAGAGCAAAACAGAAATGTGAAGACGAAATCGAAATCAACATTTCCTAACACCGACACGAATGTCTCGCACTTGAAGCATGATACGTTATGATGCAGAGAGAGAGAGAGAGAGAGAGAGAGGGCATCAACATTTCAAGAGTTTTGCCATGCTCACAATCGGATAACGTTATGAATTCGTACACGCAGTTTATGCCCATTCAAAATAATACGTAAGCGCAATGCGTACGTTACTCAACAATGATGCCTCTCTGTGAGCTAAAGTGGTCTTTTTTCATTCAACGAAATGAAAGAAAAAAAACAGAATCGCACACAAGCGTTCCATTCAAGAATGAACTTAGTCAAATGTCCCATTCAAAGATGCTCGATTGAGTCACTCTTCAGTTTGCAGCATATATTCCGGTGTGTCTGACATCATGAACTCTCTTTCGATCTCATCGTCTGCCGCACTTAATTTATGCGCCGCTATAATTTGCACCGATAAACAAAATACAAACAATCATTCAACCGATTTTAATAAACCATTTGCTCGATGTCGTCGACTCGGTTGAAAGCAATCATTCTCCCTTATCATTATTTAAATGCTTTGTGCTTTCCTTTCCAGTTCGGAGCAAGTCGATTGGTCGGTGCGACAAAGGTGTTGACACATATTGATTTGCCATATAGTCTGCATGTCTGAATAGGACTCGATTTATTTCGTTTGTGAGTCGAAACTTGAAAAACGACAACACAAACAACAACCAGCGCCGAATGCAAAGCAATGAATGTGCAATTTTCATAAATTGGTGAAGATAAACATCTTCTTGCTTGCTTGTGTGCTTGCCTTCATCGTTAGCAAAATTACGCAAATATTTCGACGATTTCATTGTGCATGACAAATGCCACACTACTCCTCCCGAATCGATTATGATTCCGTTCATTTGGCAAAGTTTCATTCTTCATTCCATATCAATGACGACGATCACTCATTTGCTCGCTCATTCACTCTTTGCGCCACACATTTTCGTTCGCTGATTCAGTATCATGCGAGTCGGAGAATGTGATTGCGTTCGAACGACGAATGCTGTTTTACTGTCAAGGAGAGAAATTGCCAATAATTTTCAGTGCAACGGTTCATCAATTTTATCGGCTATGTCGAAAATGTCTCATTTTTTTTTTTTTCAAATGAACAATGTTCATTGAACATCTCAAGGCTCGGTGCTATCGTTCATTTGAGATGGATCGTAAAATTACCAAACAAGAAAAAAATGTTTACGACTCTTTTATCACTTTGAAATTTCGCATCAAATTTCCGAATTTTATTTAGTTACTGCTATGGTTTTCTCAGAATAGCGCTTTAGGATGGCTTTATTGCATTGCCGATTATCACTTTTTGAGTTTCTTCATTTCTTTTTATCATAATAAACTTCTAAACTCGTGGTGTTACTGCCTCATTTTTTCTCTCTTTATTCAGTTTGTTGCTTCATTTTATTCGCAACTTTTCATCACACGCGTAAAAATACATTTGTTTTTATGACAAATTTGTTCTTAATGCAATAACTTGATTGTTTTACCTCAAAGCGTTGCCATTTTCGTTGTTCGTGCGAATGCTGCCCTTTGGCGAAATCAATGTGCCGCGTGATGAACTAACGCCCGTATCGGTTGAGTCTCTAGCCGAATGCATCATGTAGTATGGTTCACGATAACTCGATGGTCGATGCGTTGATGGTGGCGTATCCAATCCACTGTCACAAGCCGATATATCAATATCGGTTAATACTGTGTGTGTGTGTGTGATACGAAAGAAATGGATGAGTAACACATAAAAGAGTAGAACAAAAAAGCAGAGATATGGAGAGATAGAGGTCTAGTGTGGTGTGCGAATTCTTTCCGCTTTCATCAATTGCGAGTTGAGTCGAGTGTTCAAACGCTTTACTTAGCATATTTTACAATTGCATTCGGGTTTTTTTTTGTCGGTTTCCCATTCAATTCTCGGGCTACGCATACTCGCAACCACAAAACAGTGGGACAATAAACAATCACTGCATTCGATTCGGCGGAAAAGAAAAGCAAAAAAGGAGAAATCAACTAGAAATGAATCGGATGTGACTTACATGAATGTCTGATGTCATTGGGGGCGTTGGGTCGTTGGTACATCCAATCATTGCTATACTTATCACTGGCATTGTTCTCATACGATGTATTGCTCATGAGTGCATTTCTTCGCCTTAATTGAACCACATTATCGTCATTATCGTAGTCGTAGTCGGTTGTTGTCGATGCGGCCGATGGTGGTGTTGTTGTTGCTGTCACCGGCGTTGATGTTGCTATGGGCTTTTTGTTGCTGTTACTGTTGTGGTTTTGCATTCGTAACGGTGTTCCATAGCCGTTCATTAGGAAGTTATTATTATTGGCGGCATTGGCTGCCGACGACGATGACGTCGTATGAAAAGCCCCATTTTTTATTGGTATTTTACGTGGTGCCGATGATGACGACAATGAATGATTAGTCAACATACTTATGCTATTGCTTTCATTAAAACCGCCACCACTGCCGCCAACGCCGCTGCTACTCAAATCAGGTACGGAATCACACAATTGAAAATTATAAGTTGCACCCAGCGACGAATGCGACGTCTGAAATGATGAATGGTATGGCAGTGCTGCCAGTGATGCACGCGATCTCGGCCCCTGTGTGATACGTAATGCGTGGCGCCGTTCCTTGCTAATCAATGTGCACTCCTGTGTGATTTGTTTTTAATTTTGTTCGTTCGTTCATTCGGATACAATGTCGTTTCGGTGGACGACGACAACGATTATCGGTTCAAATTGGAAAAAAAAGAATGACAGAAAAAAAGTGTGAAAAAAACACATAGAAAATGTATACAAATGAACGCAAATCACGTTACAATCGATGTACTTAATTTTAAGTGGTTTTCATGCAAATTCATCATACCTCAAGTAGCTCAAACCAATCCTCCAATCCGTTATCGGTGCGCAATAAAACACGACCTTCTCGTCCAAGAAAGAGACTTATTGCGCTATACGATCGACGATTCAGCCATTCAACTTTTTCCACATCCACCAATTTTATCTAAAATCGCATTAGTGAACAAAGAACAGCCCGGGATAAAGGGAGAGAGAGAGAGAGGAAGGAAGAGGAAGCAATTCATTAATAATGCAGCGCTAAACATTTTTAATGTATTTCGGTCATGGCCCTTTTTCGGGGCTGCAACTATCTTCTTCGCTTTCTTTCAACTGTTTCGGAATGTGTACGGAATTACTGATGACCTTATGAGAACATCTAACCACACACACAAAATTTCCAGTAGCGTGAAAAAAAGTAAAAAAAAAAAAAAAATCCGTTCCGTCTTATTTCTCTAAGTATTTACCTTGAAAATAAATTGACCCATGTCGGAAATTCGTTCATTTACAGATCCTGAGGCGCGTTTGAAGCAATTTAAATAATCTTTTGTCAAAACGAAGTAGCTGCTCGAAAGAATAAACCCATTAAATAATAATTAGATACATTGTTCGAAAATGGATGGGTGCGTGTAGTTGTTGGCATTTTAACAAATGTCGAACCGAAAATACGTGACAAATGACATTTATTAGCAACGCAATTGTAAATGCTTTCAAGTTGAGTCTCTATTGATTGTTTGGCGAAGAAAACTGCACAAACACACAATCACTTACCGTTCCTTCCAGCGCGAAAAAATGCGATCTCTTTGTTGCCAGAGAAGGCCACGCTTCACTACCGGTCCCGACGACATCGAATCTAATGGAATACGGCCAATCAAACCCGAATTTTGCTAAACCAAGAAGAGAAGAAACGAAATATTTTTTCAATTATTGAAACAGTTTCAAATGACTCAACTCAACAAATCATAGTAAAGATCGGCTACCCAATAAATCAGTAGAAAATCAATTTTACTATATCGAATAAAGATTATTGACATATCATCTCCATTATTTAGCATATGAACTATTTTTTTAATGACTTTCCAAAATCATTTCATTGGAAAGAGTTTTTTTCTAGCTCGTTTTTATTTTCTCTCTCTCTTTCTCATTCTCTCTCTCTCTCTCTGTCTCTCTTTCTTTCAAACCAAATTCTGATGTGTTTCTCCGAAGTGAAAATGCTCGATTCTTTAATTATTAGCGCTCATGATTCTTTGTCGAATCAAAGTAAAAGAACTCGAGCATTCATTTCTGAAAGTTGATCTCACTCTTTCGGTATCGTAAAAGCGAATGACCGAATGTTTTTTTCCCATGTTTGTTGGCCGCTTCTCAATTCAATTTGATTGGCACTTCTTTTCAAATATGAATATATTTTTTTCTTTCGTTCGGAATCTAATCTCGACTTCAGACTCGAACGAAAGAATGGAGAACGCGGAAATAATTTAATAGTTGGCTCTTTTCTTTTCATTTTCTTTTTATTTCCAGTTATTATTTCACTTCTGTTATTATTGAATTCCAGTGCGAAAAATAAAATTCATATAAAACGGCCAAATTATGCTAAATCAAGCTGAGAAAGTCAATATTTTGGGCATGTTTTGATCCCTTTTGGTTCAATCGTTTGTTATGAATTTCTAAAGAAATTTCAATGTCCGTCGCCGCCACTTAAATGTGAAATCTCCGCATTATCTTATCTCTTTTTGGAAGCGAAATTTAAATGAATTTTTGATGAAACACCATTTCCCGATGATCCCATTTTTTTTTTTATCGCATTCACCAAAAATCACTGCATATCGGTATATTTGATTGTGTGTCGACAAATTATTCGTCGATTAATAATCGAAAGCAACGATTCAATGTAGAAATAAGTGCATTTCATGATGCTGTTCGAGAAACTAGTTTGAAAATTAAATTTGAACAAACGGAGAGAAAAAGACGAAAGCGAAAAACTAGAATCGTTAATTGAATATTGGGTGCGTTCAAGTTTTTGGTAAGACTCGTGTTTCATTGGCAGAAATTGAAAGCAGCCGCCGCAATAGCAGTAGCAGCAGAAGCCAGTCAGTTTGATTGTATTTGTTCTCTCTCTGTGTGTGTGTGTGGTGTGTGCACATTGCTGCGTGCACATGGGCGGCTAATTTCCTTGTTAAACGAATTTATTTAATTTATTCCTCACTCACAGTTGGTTTGGTCTTGGTTTGGCGAGCGCCGTCCATGCTATTTATTGTTGCTATACACAGTTAGCCAGTCGAATGGAACACGATGTCACCAAATAGTCTGGTGAATGTTATTGTATTTTAATGACTCTGTTTGAGCGTACGTACACGCATATACATAAAATTCGGCCAGAATAACTTTGCTAAAGCGTTTCATTCTCGGTCTGGCCATTTCCGCGATGGAAATTATTTTTTTTTTTGCTATGGGTTTTGCGAATCTAATTGTTGTTGTCCAAAGCGGGACACAATTCCATAATAATATGAAAGAAACAAACAAAGTCGAGCAAAAAATTCAAGTATTGATGTGTTGAAATACACACATTTTTGGCGCACCGTTTATGGTTTTTCTTTTCTCTCTTTGGGAAAATCGTTTGTATTCGAGAGAGTGGAGCAAATTTTCTGCACTTGACAACCGAATTGAATAGATAAATTGGCGCAAAGAAAACAACAAGATCATATACACACAAAGTGCTTGAAACGAAGAACTAGCGAATAGCGAGATAGAGAGAAAACTGGACAGAAAAGTGTGCTAATTGGCTGTGCCACATGTTTGTTCTACGGAAAAATCGGCTAAAAAGAAACTTATTATCGTGAGAGGCCTGAAGCTCTCCATTGTACAATTTGGCTTTGTACTGTGCGAGTTCTGGTGCTACTGCTGCTGCTGCTATTCAAACGCACGGACAAACTGGCCTCATACTCTGATATGCGTATCGGCCGAAGTGTATTCATAATAATGTACCAACTTAGAAAGAAGAAAAAAAAAACACTCACACACCACAAACGCTGAACGAACAACACAAAAACCAACTGATTTGATTATATTTTCTTTTCGTTGCGTTACATATATTTTTTGCCGTTTGAAACGGATCGCTAATTCTGATATGTGTTGTTTCGTTTGTTCATTTCCTTCCCCATTTGTTGTCGTCGTCGTCGTTGTTGTCGTCATCGTCGGCGAACGGCGTGGTCTTGCATTCCAAAATATCAACAACAAACCAAACATAACGCTTCTCGCATAAAATCATATGATATTTAAAGTATACCGGAATGAACAGAATTATAATGTAACCGACCGGGAGTCGAATGAAGAAAAAAAAAAACAATTTCGTAAGAAGGAATGACACACTAGAAACCAACAACAACACGACATGGAAGAAAGACAGAAGCGATTTGCTGATGCAATGCGGAACGAGTATTTGAGCGGCGGCTAACAACTGAACGAAATGATATTATTTTTTTTTTTTCCTACTCTGATACATCTTCTTCTGCTTCAAGTCAAGATTATTACGCGTTGTACATGTTGGTTTCATTATGAATGCATGGAAAATAGTCGGAGTCGGGTCCGTTTTTGAATATGACACTTATTAATATTTAAAAGTGTTTACTTTTTCCGGCTATCGCCTCAGTACTCTCCGAAATGTTAGTTGGCGAATAACAACAACAACAGCAATCATAGCAACACATCCGCTCCGAGGCTGCTGGAATGTATGCTATGCACGATACATGGACTGTGATTCTTTTGCCGTTATGTCGTCGTCGTTTTCGACGGCAGACCGGCCCAGCCCAGCCCCAAAATATACAAAATGCATAGAGAACAATGAACAAGTGAATTGGAGAAACAATGCGAATGCGACCGGTTCCAGTTGAATGAACGAATAACAAAACTATATCGATAAATCATCTGCATTACTTATCGTGGCTGAAACAAAAATGTTGATTTCATTATCAAAGTGGAACGCACAGGATGTTCAAATCTTTCCAACTTGATTGTATACTTCGCAGTTTTTTTTTTCATCTTCATTCGTTCTCTTTTTTTTTCTTCGACCAATGATACGCATTCACTGTGAGTGAGGTTTGGTTTTCGTCAATGATTACTAATTATTCTGAGTCAACCCGCTGTGCATACGATAAACACACTGCCATGATTAAGCAAACAGCTTAGTTTTTTTTTAAACAAATTTAGACTAATTGACTCATGCATAGAAAATTCAGCGTTTTAAATAGAGAATATCAACAGTACATAGCCACTGCCAGTGGTTCCTTTTTGTTTATCAAATATTGATAAATTAGAAAACATTCCATTCCACTGGGATATCGCCTTCGTTTAATCTGGTTAGCCTTTTTTTTTCTTACAAAAATGCTTTCATTTTCGCTGATACGGAAAAGAAGTTATTTAGCACAGAAATTCCATTTTTTTTCGAAGCAACGAAAAGTGGATCAACGATGTTTGGACGCAGGTATATAGAAATGTCAGATCTAATCGATTTCATAACCGCTTTAGATTTTTGATTTCGATTTATCTTCATCTGCCTCTCTCTCTCTCTCTCTCTCTCTCTCTCGCTCGCTTCCTTTAACTAAACCTGCCTCTTTTTTTCCATTTAAAATGGGTATAAGAGGAACATTTTTATCAACATTTCGTACTGTCACTCAAAAACGACTCCATATACGAGGTTAAAACGCGTGAGTTACTTCAAAACTTCTTTCACTTTGCAATTCTTTTACGAAATCGAAACCGAAAAATGTTATCTACTCAATGGATGTGAATTACATTTTTTTAGTCGAAAAAAAATTAGTTTCAAACAGTTTGCCAAAAAATGTCCGTCAAAAGTCTATTCGGTTTGACTGACTGACAGCTTGAGCTGGAAACGAAGTTTTTCGAAACTTTTTGCATACGCTGTCAGCGCATAAAGAATGGCACAAAACGGCAATAACAACAACAACAACAAAAATCAAAAACTATTTACCACCGACAGCTAAAATCGTACACAATTCCGAACAACATGGAATTTTGCGGAACAAACATCGACCAATTACTAATTCTCTATACCTGCTACATTGTGCTTAAGAAGAAGCAGAATCAGAAACGGTGCGGTTCAAAAACATTGTTTCGCTTTCATTTTATGAGTTCTTAATTGGATAGAAGTGTAAATTGGTCCTAAATAGTTTTTGTTTCATTTCGACGGGAAAGTAACTGCTAAAATCATAGAAACTTTCAACGAACATATTTAATGCTATCAACCGCACAAAAACCCTCCCGTCAAATAATCGAGATTGGCCTGAATTGAACGGAACGAAATGGTTATGTCTGAATCGTGTCGAGTGTTTGTGTTATTTTTTTTTGTTTTTTTCGTTGGCTTTTCCATTAATATTTGTGCATTTTCCAAATTGGATGTTTCAATCTTAATTTGGTCGAGGCAATCGTCCTCAATTTTATTTGAAGAATCATCGAATTTGAATGGAAAAATGAACGGAAAAAAATGCAGCAAAAGAATCGATTGTTTGGATCAAATGCCACAGAGAGAGAGAGAGAGAGAAAGAGAGAGAGAGAGAGAGAGAGAGAGAGAGAGAGAAAATTGAAAGATAAACTTCGTGCGTTGAACATTGAAATTGTGTTCTGTCTCACTGTTGCTCCCTCCAGTTTAAACAAACGATAAGAATAAGACAAGATATGGATATTCAAAATCCAAAGAGTACCACATGAACAAAGCAAGCGAGAACACGAAAACATACAAAGGCAAGATAAACAGACAAAACGATAGTGTTTGGTGTTGGCATGAATTGCTTTTATCAGCGTACTCATCGCAGCTTGTGCAAGTCGAAATGCATTTTGATTTAATAAATTTGGTGTGTGTGTGTGTGTGTGTGTG